AAAAAAAAAAAAAAGTTTTTTTTTTCTCCCCTATACTTGTCTTGTAGTGTTCATACATGTAATAAAAGGAGTTACCTAAGGATAAGAAATTCTGGAAAAGGAATATAGCGTGAAGTCTTATCCCAGACATTGTTTTTGCTCAAACATATTCATCCATGCAGCATTCGGGTGAAGGATCTGAGGAGCAAAAGTTGGAGATTTTTGGAAAGCTTTCCTCAGGCTTGTTGACTATTGCAAAAAGACACGAAGGTTACAAAACTCTATGGAGTATATGCTGCGATCTCAACAATACTGAACTTCTTAAAAATCTTATGGTAAAGACTTATGTGTTCTGCATGTGTTTTGCTTCTTTAGATGTTTGCCTATTTCTGTATAATAAGCCTTTTCTTGTGCAGCATGACAGCATGGGACCTAAACGAGGCTTTAGTTACTTCGTGTTTCAACAGCTATATGACAACAAACAGTTTTCTAAGCTAATGAGACTTGGGGAGGAGTTTCAGGAAGAACTAGCAATATTTTTAAAACAGCATCAGGATCTCCTTTGGCTTCACGAGATATTCCTTCGTCAATTTTCTGAAGCTTCTGAAACTCTACATGTTTTGTCTCTTTCATCGGATGATAGCTCTGCTATGGATGATGGAACCTATTCATTTGACACCATCATAGAAACAAGTTTGGTGGAAAGAAAGCGGTTTTTGAATCTCTCGAAGATAGCTGCATTGGCAGGTATTCTTCCCTTTGACTTTGTAATTGTGAGCACAAAAGTTAGGTAAGACTGGATTTAAATCGATGCAAGGTCAATATCAGTTGAGGTTAGTGCTTTTTCCAAGTTAGTGTGGGAGGACAAGAATTGAAAACAAACATCATTGTGTTTTTTTTTGATGACCGAGAAATCAGTCTGGGGCCGATCAAACATCATTGTGTTTTATCCCCAATACACTGACATCTTTATGAAACTTGATCCTTTAAAATAATTTGTAAGCAAAGTAGTAGTGGAATGACTTGGACCGGAATAAAGCGGAATGGTTATAACGGACTCATTTCACAATTTCGTTTGAGATTGAGGTGTAGTGTTTGTTTGAGACTCGGAAATAATCTCTAAAGCTTATGAAGTTTACACAACTCATCTTAAGCTTTCTCAGTAAAGAACAGCACCACTATTCAGCAGGTGGAGAGTGGTTTTCAGGAATTACCTTGACTCAGGAAGTTCATTTTCTTCCTTTTACATTATCTACATCTATCTGTGATTAATGTTCTCTTTCCTGAGGGAGGAATATATGGACAGCCGTAAGCGATGGTATTGAAAAATAAAGAAATTGAGAAATTTTTGTGAAGTTTGCTATTTTTTTTTGAAAAAAGTGTGCCAAATAGTAAAAATGGATGATAAATTACCTTATATCAGTTGATTCCAGACTGCTTATAATTATTTGAGCTTGTTGACATTCTTCATCTTCTTCATTTTCCATGTCTTTTGGACTTTTAACCTTTAGAATTCAACAAATTTCATGTTTCCAGTTTACTATTTTTGTATTGCTTCTATACTATTTACTGATGACAACTTGCATTTACTTCATCTCTTGGCAGGAAGAAGTACTAATTTTGAAACAAAGGTGAAGCGCATAGAGGCTGATTTGAAGATTCTTAGCTTGCAGGTATCATTTTAATTTTGTTGCTTATTTGGTTATTGGAGCTGAGGATTTCTGTCACCTCAGTATAAATTGCTCTTTTGTGAACATAACTTGTCGCACAGTGATAACATTACAGATTATTAGGAAAATAGTGATAATACTAGCAGTGCGTACTCAAATTCTATCTTAATATGGTCCATTCATCTCTTAATATGGATATGGATTTGTGTTGTATGGTCTGCTGTTGTCTGCCATGATTTAGTTGCAGACCTGTTATAATCTTTTGTTATGTCAGACTTGGTATTGTGGCTGCCTACGTATTAATCCACAATTAATAGTTGTTGGGGACTCTAGTTGTAACAAATACTTCCAAAACTCTAAATGTGAGGCAAAGAGTAGGCATGTTCCCGTAGTTATGGAAGTAGAGGAAGAAGATCGCAGGCTAATGTCTGGTAATAATGTGAAAATAAAAGACTCTTCTTTGAAATATTCATTGAAATTAATTGAGGTAAAAGTCTGGACAGAATGCGGAATCTATGTATTTGCTGACTTCAGAAGTACCACACCTTGTGAAACTAGAAGCAGCCAGAGACAGCTTTTCTAGAAGAAACATATGAAAAACTACTAGGATGTTAGACAGAGAGGTTTCTTTTAAGTCAGTGCCCCAACCTAGCTAATGTAACCAGTCAGTACCCGCTTTCCCTTTTTGATATTGCTTTCTAGTTTTTTTTCGTTTAATGGTCCACTTGGCCCTTGTGGCAAGGGATCTCTGATAGATGAATATCCTCTCTCTGGTCTGCTCTGCTCTTATTGTCAAATTTACTTCTCTTGCAGGAAGAAATAATGAAACTCCTCTCGGATGATGAAAGCCAAAATATTCGCCAGCGGCTTCTTCCCCCGATGGACCTTATTGAATTGTGCCTGAAAATTCAAAATAGGGAGCTTTCTTTGAGAGTTTTTGATGTTTTTGCTTGGACCAGCTCCTCTTTTATCAAGTCTAATGCAAGCCTCTTGGAGGACTGCTGGAGAAATGCCTCCAATCAGGACGACTGGGAGAGACTGTATCAAGCATCTGTAGATGAGGGGTGGAGTGATGAGGAGACTTTGAGCATTCTAAAAGACACCATTCTTTTCCAGGCTTCGAATAGGTGCTATGGCCCCAAAGCGGAAACTTTTGAGGGCAATTTCCAGGAAGTGCTGCCGCTGAGACTAGAAAATTCTGAGCATGCGAATTTAAAGAACATGGGATCCTCTGTGGAGAATACCCTGATGCAGCACAAGGATTACCCTGATGCTGGAAAGTTGATGCTCACAGCAGTTATGCTTGGAAGCGTTCACTCCGATACTATTAGTATTATGGAAGAGGAGGGACCTACCCCAATGGAGTGATTGTTCTAGTAATCTGAATGATTGTGGGCTGCAGCTTTAACACCAATTGATGATATTGTATATGGCGGTCATGTTTCCTAATCAGTTCCAACTGCTACATCTATATAGGGTGAGTGCTTAGCAGTAGAATGCTTTATGAGTGGTGTCTGGACATTTGGGTGCTTTTAAGAGTTCTTAGCAGGAGAAATTTTTCCTTGTAAATTTAGTTAAAACGTGCTTGAGAATGACAACTTTTTAGTCGGGCATATGAGTGTAGAGAGTTTTTATTGAGAGTCTCTCCGAAGAAGAAAACAAAGCAGTGCATCTTCTATAGATTGAGTCTTGTTTGTACGTTGTTTCATTGTTGCAGAAAAAGAGTGCATTTCTTGTTTGTCCATTGAGTACAACAGAAGATTTAACTTGACGTGATTCATGCTTTACACTTGATAGGAGGCGCAATTGGTTTCTTAGTTAATTAGTGAAAAAGGACGACTATCATTTAACTTTGTTATTCAAAATGAGACTTCAATTAATTTGTTGAGATATAAAAGGGCTATTCCTATATTCGAATCATCTTAAAGGCCGGATAGAAAATGTACTTTATCCATTCTAATTTATGTGAACCTATTTTTATTTTAGTCTGTTTAAAAAAGAATGGTGCCTTTAAATTTGGAAACAATTCACTTCAACTTCCCTAAATGAAATGTTTTTATAGTCACATAAATGCTATGGCAGGGTCAAAGACATAAGTTTCAAAAGCTTTAAAGCCACACAAATGACTTATCTACTTTGCTATTTCCTACATATCTGCCATATCGTTATTTCTCTTTGATTGTGATTTCCCTGTATTGGGGCACTGCAATATGTGGTTTCGCACGTTCTATCAGTTGTCCGTTTATTTTCAATACTAATCGTGAAATCGATGCAACTTCATTGAATGAACTAGTGCCTATATCTTTCTAGGCTCCTGGATTCTCTGCCCCAACTTGACACCTAGTTTAGAATCATTCTTTTCTAAGTACATAAAGATATGTTTAAAAGATAAAGAGGAATTTTCAAAAATTACTATAGTTAAGTGGCTATTAAGGTGCTATAGCTACAATATCAAGTTAGAAGTCTTTTAAAGTAGAGATTAATTTAAACACCTCAGTGACTGGCTGCCAGCATATCTAAAGCTGAAGAAAATCTCACCCAACAGATGTTCGCAAAGCCACGTGGCAGAACAAAGGCCTCTATCTGGTTTGGAAGAATCACAAGGGAAATCCCAAAACAAAGCAAGAACCAATTAGCAGCTGCTGAGGTGTCATCTTGTAATCCTGAAAATCCATTAATTTTGCATAAATAGCCCCCACCTTACTTCTTCCCTTCATATCAAACTCAACAGAAAAGAAAAAAAGAAGCTTCTTTAGTTCACCAATTAAAAAAATGGCCACTTCTGCAATTCAACAATCTGCATTTGTTGGCCGGACAGTGGCTAAATCACAAAATGAGCTTGTTAGGAAAATTGGCAGCTTTGGCGGAGGCCGTGCTACCATGAGACGTACTGTTAAAAGTGCTCCTCAAAGCATCTGGTATTGCTTTTATTTCAAATTTATTTATACATTTATACCTTTTTCTTATTTTTATATAAATCCATGAAGAATTAACTCAAATAGCCCGTGAATGTATAATATATACATAATTTATGTACTATATGTATATAATTATGTATATAATTAAAAAAGTAAACAATTAATATGGCCGGTTATTTGTGTAAAGATCCCTGAATCCATTGTGTGTAACCATACCTGTCCTTTGATTAAATAGGTATGGAGAAGACCGTCCAAAGTATTTGGGCCCATTCTCTGAGCAAACTCCATCTTACCTTACTGGTGAATTTCCTGGTGACTACGGATGGGACACTGCTGGACTCTCAGCTGACCCAGAGACATTCGCCAGAAACCGTGAACTTGAGGTGATCCACTGCCGTTGGGCCATGCTTGGTGCATTGGGTTGTGTCTTCCCTGAAATTCTTTCAAAGAACGGTGTTAAATTCGGTGAAGCCGTTTGGTTCAAGGCAGGAGCCCAAATCTTTTCAGAAGGTGGACTCGACTACCTCGGCAACCCAAACCTCGTCCATGCCCAGAGCATCCTCGCCATTTGGGCTTGCCAAGTTGTCCTAATGGGCTTGATTGAAGGATACAGGGTTGGTGGAGGCCCACTTGGTGAAGGTCTTGACAAGATCTACCCAGGAGGTGCCTTCGACCCACTTGGCCTTGCTGATGATCCCGAGGCTTTTGCTGAGTTGAAGGTTAAGGAAATCAAGAACGGACGATTGGCAATGTTTTCAATGTTCGGATTCTTTGTTCAGGCTATTGTTACAGGAAAAGGCCCAATCGAGAACCTTTACGACCACATTAATGACCCAGTCGCCAACAATGCTTGGGCTTTTGCCACCAACTTTGTACCCGGAAAGTGAAATGTTTAGTCTGTGTTATCTTGCTTGTAAAAGATTGGGCTGTTTAACTTGCTGATGTTTATGCAGAAAATAGTGAATATTTCAGTGGTCTTTTATCATTTTGTTAAGAGCTCATTAAATTCTACTAAAGTTCAGATTATAACTTTGTGCTTACTGAACTGTCCGTCCACATAATGATCCAATTTAAACAAAAAACAATTACTCCATACTTTGCTAAAATAACTAATGTACAATCATGTTTTTCTTTTCCCTGGTAGAAACAATCATCCTATTTCCAGACTGATAAACGAATAATAGATAAAGGGCAGTCCAGTGCGCTATGCTTCCGCTATATGCAGGGTCTGAGGATGGGCCGGACCACAAGGGTCTATTGTATAAAGTCTTACCTTGCATTTCTATAAAAGGCTATTTTCCATGGTTCGAACTGTAACCTCCTGGTCACATGGCAACAACTTTATCTGTTACACTAAGGCTCCCCGAAAAAAGAATAATATTAAAGAAAAAATGGATCAATATCATTTTGAGCTAACATGGACAGTACCAGTGGCAGAATAAGCTTGTTTCATAAAACTTGAGTACACATATTCATGCCAAGGTCAAACATTAGCCTGGAAACGGAAGAGATTTCGGAAACTTTGATCTTGTAATTCATTATATAAATGCGATTTATAGGTAACTTTATTTAATAGAGTTGATTAGTGAGTAACCGCAAATTAAATTACAGTGCATATAACTTAAATTTTTCGGAAAATTATACATTTGGACAAAACAGAGCACAGAAATCAACGAAAATTAGCTAGAACTGAACAGTAAGGAATTTTTCTGAAGGTGCAACCGAACAGAGCATAATAGAACACTTAATAATAATCTTTGAAGCTGAAGCGTGAAGAGCTAGCTGCGACTTATAAGTCGCATTACCTAAAAGTGATTTATAGGTCGCTATACTCGAATGCGATTTATAAGTCGCATTTGTAAGATGCGACTTATTGATGTTAAAATATTAATCTAAATATGCGGTCATATGATGATACGCTATAATTACGTATTTTAGTCGATTATTACACTCTAATTTGCTGCACTTTAGTTGAGCTTGCGCTTTAATCGCTAGTGTTTTGCACTAACTGTGTGTTTTATGCCTTGTAGGAGTGATTCCGAGCTATGTAGATGTTATGAAATGAATTCAAGTGATTTGGAGCTTTGAAGTCTGAGTAAAAGCCCAAGGAATTAAGCCGGGATCGTATTCGGGGGTCAACGGACAACGAAACGAAGAATCGCGTAGGCATATTGCGCACTGTCTAGTAAAATGCACATAACTTTTCCCTTAAAACTCGATTTGGGCTTCACAATATATAGTTAGAAAGTTAACGTAAAGGACTACAACTTTCATGTTTTACGTTTTTCCAAATTCCAAACGGAAAAGGATGAAAAACGCGGCCGAAACCGCGACAGCGGACCTGGATGCAGACTGAGGCAGTGCACTGGGAAAATACCGCACTCGGACCGTGACCGCGAGCGTCTAGACCTAAAAAATTGTCCTTTTTCGCGTAGGAGAAGGTATAATTGTTTGGGCCCGACCCTACTTGGTATATATACATGAAAAAATGGTACTTTGAAGAGGTTGGACATACTTTTGACACAGATTGGACCTAAGGAAGCAGAGATACAATAGGAGCAAGGCGGAGAATTCTTCTACGAGTTTTTTCCTTCTTCTTCTTATTTTTTCATTGTTGGTTATGACTTTTAGCATTGTAGTTTTACATACTATTATGAATAGCTAATTTGTTATCTAGGGTTTTGATGGAACTTTTTGTAGGATAAATTCTTGTTATATTTTTCTATAATTGAGTCGTTAGATTTCTCTACTTGTTCAACTACGTGTTTATTGTTATTGATTAAATGGTCATCGATTGACTGTGCTTATTTATTATGTGTTGCTTGAGAAAGGATACATATTTAGGTGGTTGTTGAACAATGTCACTCCTAACGTATATGAGAAATCAATACATCGGGTTTAAAGGTAGGTTCAGAAATAATAAAGCCTTGACGTGGTCATAATGAGCGGTTAGATAAAGCTAACTAGCGTAGTTTGAAAGAATATGTCTAGTAAATTGTTGTAGCTGCTCGAGAGAGAATTACGTCACCTAAAGTGCTCACGATCAGTAGAGAATACATAGGCGAAATTGTTGGGAACATAGCGGGAAGGATTCCAACATTTGGGAAAATCATAACTCTAGACCTCCTTAGTTTTGTCTCAAATTTCATCAATGTTATTTTGATAATTTTACCGCTTTCTAGTATTTGCTAGTTAATTAGTTAGAAATATAAATCTCAATCTTTATAATTTAGAAAAATTGTTCAAACTTGTTTTTTGGTGATATTAAACAGATATAGCTAAGCCTTAGTTCTCTGTGGGATTCGACTCCAGACTTTTAGATCGGATTATATTTGTAACGACCGTTTATCCTTTTTAAGACTAGAGTTGGGCGTGATCAAATTTTGGCGTTGTTGCCGGTGAACTAACGCTGTAGTTGTAGTTGATATATTGCTAGGTTGCGAGTTTGAACTTTTTTTTTTGTATTTTATTTTATTTTATTATAACCGTTGATTTGAGAAACATGACATCTTGGAATTATAGGATTTTAGGTGTAGATAATTCTACTACTTATCCTCATAAATATTGTAAAGGAAACCACCCGTATCAAAATTATCAAAATATTTCCGAGAGCGAGTTATGTGCACCAACTGAATCTTATTCGTGGAATGTGTGTGACGTGTGTGGTGGTAAAAATGGTCACTTTCATGGTTGTGCCTATTTTTCTTATCTTCCTCCAACCCCTTACTATGATGGTTCTATCTTTTCTTTTGAACTTAATAGGAACAAAGAACCTGGGAATGTGGACCTGAAAGAGATCAAGGATATGCTAAAGTGCCTTCTGGAACAAAATAATGAGAAACAATTGCAGATAGAAAGGCAAAAGAAAACTATTCGCAACTTGGAGGCTCAAGTGAGTAAAGTGGTTGAAGCTCTTAATGCTCAAGAAGCCAATTTTGAGGATAGGAGCCAAGAAGAGCGTAAATTTGAGGTGCTAATTGAGGAGGTCAGAGTAGAACATAAACAATCTAACCAACTAGAATTTGAGGATGGCGATGTTGAAGAAGTGAGAGTAGAGACAACCAAGGACATTGAGGATATAAATTTTGTTGACTCTAGTATCATTGATATTGAGGATGCTAAAAGTCCTGAAGTTCATGTGTGTGAGCGCATTGGTCCACACTACAAGCATTTTTCCATATTGTGTTTGGATGATGATATGGAAATAGAGTCATCCGAACCAATTGAAGAGTCAAGGAATGAGGAACAAGGTGCATATATTTTGGAATTCTTCTTGCCAGAAAGTCAGGATTACATACCTCATACAAAGGCCAAGGAGTGCAGAATACTACATTATTTTCTTGGGCCAGTTAGATTCGTTCAACCGCCACAAGAGCATAATCATAAGGTTGAAGCAAAACTTGGGATTCAATTCATAAGCTCGAGGTGGAGACAAAAAGTGATTCATGTCTTGTTGCGACGTTAAATCAAGCGCTTGTTGGAAGGCAACCCAACTTTAATGTTTTTTATTTTATTTTATTTTTTTAATTGTATTATTTTTGTAGTGTCAATTTTTGATCTTCTAAAACATGGAAAGCAAAGCTATTGGAATGATGCAACATCAAACCAAATGGTTGGAACTAAGTGTGAGGTACCCGCACGAAGGACCAAGCCTGGGAGAAGTCTGAGTACCTCATGAGCTGCTAGTGCTTCGGCCTTTGGCCTACCAGGGAGTTTCTTTTACCCTCTTATTAGTATGTTGTGCATTGGGGACAATGCCTAATTTTAAATGTGGGGTGAGGAGATTCTCTAAGTGACTTTCTATGCTACTTTAGCTGTATTAGTTTGATTGAATAATTATTTTTATTTTAAAAAGATTGGACTTTTCCCGACGATGGATCTATTAGACAATTTTCTTGAGGAATTTAAGTCTAAAGAAAAAGGATAAAAAGATTTTCTTTGTAGGTACTGTAGTAATTACCCCTTGATTTTTCTTTGTGTCGCGGTTCTTTTCCACGGGTTTTATTTGAACCGAGTGTAGTTACTTTTTTTTAGGGAGTAGGAACTAGTGTGAGATGAATTGAATCGCAACGATATCTCTTGACTTTGTTATGCCTCGAGAATAGTGAGTACCTTGGATATGATGCTTAGACTCAATTTTTGACTCTTATAGAAGTACCTTAAATTGTATGATCTTAACTTTGCTTAACTGCTTTGACTATAGTGTCTTGATAAAAACCAATCCTGAATGAGTTATGTGCCATGTGTGTGTGTGTAAGGTTTTGTGTTATTATGTGCGTGCATTTGGTGTCTAGAACTTGTCCCATGTGTTTGCAAAGCGAAATAGTAGTTTTATTCAGTCTTGGAAGTGATATAGGCATTTCTTTGTTGAGCCAGATATATATATTTTACCCGCCTAATTGTTATGTATCGTAGTTAACTCCTTTGAGCCTGTAATCCTGTTTCTTTGGCAACCACAGTACAAGCCTTATCCATTTGTTTGAATTAACCATCTATTTGAACCATTGTAACTTCTCATGAGCACTTGAATTGTTTATGAACTTTGTAAAAGTTAAAATATGGGGTGGTTGGTTTGGCTTTTGAGTGGAACTAATTAAATAAGGAGAAAGGTGCACTGTTTTGAAAAAGTAAGAGCCACTTGAATTGAAAAAAAAAGAAAAGAAAAAAATAGTTGGATTGTTGTGAAAAAAATATTCCTTGATAAGTGGTGGCTTTTGATGTAAGTGTACTTAAAAGAAGAATGTGGTAATATATATTAAGGTGAAGGTGGAGTTTGGTTTGACATAAATATGAGGTTTGATGTTAAAGTATATGTATTAAAGTGTTTATGGAGGTATAGTCACTCTTATATCGAAATGTATCCTACCTGTCCCGCGGCCTACATTACAACCAAATAAAGTCCTACATGATCCTAGACTAAATGAGCTCGATTAGTAGAGTAGTACACTACGGGAAAGCCTATGGTGCATCTTTTGTGCCATATGAATG